AGCCTTTGCATAGTCAATAAAGCACAGGTAAACATTCTTCTGGTATTCTCTGCTTTCAGCCAAGATCCATCGGACATCAGCAATGATATCTCTCGTTCCATGGCCTCCTCTGAATCCAGCTTGAACCTCTGGAATTCTCTGTCAATGTATGATTGTAGCCGTTTCTGTATTACCTTTAGCAAAACTTTACTCGCTTGAGATATCAAAGAGATTGCTGTTGCATCTCCTTAGATGGTCTCATCTATTTCCAGTGTGACTTAAGTATTTTCTGTATGTTGATAACTTCCAAATTTAATTTTCAACTCAGACTCAAATATTCAACCCTCTTCTTGAGATCTCCATTTATTTATTTATACATTTATTTTTGTTGTACCAAGTAAATAAACCTAACTCTGATAGGCTACTGGTGCATTCCTAGTGGCCTTTGGTTGTCAGGTTTCCAAAGGGGGACACAGAAGAGTTGCATTTATACAAGGCTGTACAGATGGCAAGAGCCAAGCTGAAGTTCAAGCCTAGCACTTCATAGCCCTTTAAAGCCCATTTTATACCTTCTTTCTTTAATGAAGACCGTATGGAACATTGTAGTTAAACTGCTCATGTTCTGGACTGAACTGTAGCTTCATCATTTACTTAACTTTCCTTAACTCAACGTCCGTCCTCAGTTACAAATTGAAAATATTTAGTAATTACCTCATTGGGTTATTAAGGGGATTAAATGATTTTCATATGGAAATCACAAAGTATAAGTGCTAAGAACTGTCCGCTATTTCTAACATAAAATAACATTTGCTTCTCCTTGTTGTTGTTGTTGTTGCTAAATGCCATCAAGTCAGTTCCAACTCATAGCGACCCTAGATAGAGTTTCCGAGGAGTGGCTGGTGAGTTTGAACCACTGACCTTGAAATTCAAACAGACCTTACAGTTCTGTGCTTATCATACAGTGCCAAACTAGGACTCCAGATTTCATAGTGATTCAGGTTTATTGTAGTAATATATCATTCTAAGAGATTTTGTTATCTGTTCAAAAAAGTTTCTTAAGAGTATAATTTCTTACGATTTCTGGTCTACTGAAACTTTCTGTAGTTTAAATTACAAAGTTCCCCATAAAAATGTAATTAGAGAGGGGACTTTGTTTTGCTCATTGCTATATCTCCAGCAGAGTCAGTTCGTAGAACAGCTGATTAACTGCTTGACTGCTAACCAAAAGTGTGGAGGCTCAAATGGACCCAGAAGCACCTTAGAAGGTAGACCTGACGATCAGCCGTTGAAAATCCTATGTAGCATAATTTCACTCTGAGAGTTGGAATCAACTCAACAGGAACTGGTTCAACTGATATCACCTGGAAAGAACCTCTGGAACCACTCAGGCTAAATGAAGACCTCTGGAAAAACCAAGTAACACAGATGTCTTCTCTAAACAATGCTTCCCAGACTTTGTCCCATGGAAATGTGTATATGTGTTAGTGTGCATGCGTGCAAGTGTGTGTGTGGGATGTTGCTAAGAGATGCATTTCTATACATTTGTGATAGGCATTATTGGGGGAATTTTACTTAGAGTTTCAAAATAACATCAACAAATCATTTTCTGGGAGTAAAAGAGATCTTTTATATTCAAGTCTATCCCCTTAGTACACTGGGTTGATAGAGATGGGCAACTTAGACACTGGCTACCAAAAATGGGGGGCTATAAAGGTATGAAGTGGCTGGCTTACAAGCTTTCAGGAGTGTGCTTAATTTCAGAATGAGGGGGCGGGGGTAAGGGAGAATCCCCACTGAATAGTTTTCCTCTTATCTAGATGGGTCTGGTGAAAGGGGATAGGGAGGATGGGGATACGATTCTTTTTTTTTTTCTTCTTCTTCTTCTTAAATGATTTATTGTGAATTATGTGACAGTTTACATGGGAGAACATTAGTTTTACATTCATTCTATCATATATCGTCTCACTGCCATGGTTACAATCCC